GCGACCATACCGCTTACAAGGAGCCAAAATGACCCTGGGCTCGAGATTGGGGCCAGTAAAAATAAATTGGTGCAAATACATGAGGGGCTTTTTGTCCTTTTTTGGAACGAGTGACCCGCTTACCAATAATATTCAATACGCAGGCTCAAAAGTCAATCGGCTCTTAAAGGTGCTGAGTAAGAAAGAAATCTAACTACTGTACACCTACTAGGAAATTGCTTCTTAATATTTATGGAGGATCGAAAAGACAGTCCACCGGAAGAAGATGCCAAACTCGACACAAATGAAATGTGTAGTGGGAAATCTTCGATTCCCCAGATAGAAAAAGATGATAACACCAGTTCTGGGCTTCAGTCTACGCAATCAGAACTGTACACAGAAAATGTTTCTTGCGATTTAGTGGAGCTCAGCAGTGATGATGAAGTTCAAATCTTCGATGTGAAAAGAAAATCATGCGAGAAAAATCTGCAAGCAGATGATCAATGTTCTTCTGGAAGGACTAGTCCGAAAGATGCAACATGTTCGGTTTGTCTCAGTGAATATGATAACAAATCATTCCTTGATAAGTGCTTTCGTATCCTTTTGACGAGTGAAATATGAGTTTAGATGCGTGAATGAGCTTGAGGTAAAGATTCGATGAAAATAAATTGTTTTCTTTGAAATCCAGCAGCAGAGTGTAACAATCACCCAGATTCATGAGGGTTTGATTTGTGTAAATTAGACATTTACCCTCCTTGTATGTGTTGGGTAAACTGTGCAATGATATTGCTGTCATGGAATTTACGTGGGTTGAGGGGTAGGGTGTTTCATTTTGTGTATCCTTTTTTTATATTACTATATTTTTTACTCATTTCTCCTGCAGTTTAAAACTAATAAAATCTCTCCCTTTCATCTCAAAGCCAGGTCAGGCATGATTCAGACTTTTGTAGTCCCATCCCTTCATGGTATAATTCAAATGCTTGCGACGTCTGCCTTTAACAGAGAACCTATGCAAGTTGGACACCTATTCGAAGTTAACCCTTTAACCCCTAAGAGTGACGAGCTTCTAATTTTGCCTTACAATATCACCCTTGAATCAAACATTAAGGTCACAAGAATCCATGATCAAGGGAATGATCACTTACTAAAAAAGCTCTTGATTGTTAAAAAAATTCTCCTTGTCAGCACCTCAGGAATTGTATAGAGAACAGTATGGAGAATGTGCTTACTGATCTTTAGGGTGTAATGGGTTAATGCTATAAAACAATGTTGAACCTTAACCTATCTTGTAGATGCTTTTTGTTACTTCTGTATTTTACAATGGTCAGAAATAGTCAGGACCTGTCCACTGTGCAAATCGAGCTTTACATCAATTATTCACAGTGTCAAATCTATAGACAATTACCAGCAGGTAATCATGATGTACACTTTGAAATTTAACCTTATAACCCAATGCCTGACCTGACCCAATGCCTATATGCCCAATACTACCTGAGTTTAAGTTCCCCGATGTAACAAGTTAAAAGCCAAATTTGCCCCACTTTGGTCTAGAGCTAAAGTGCATAGCTCAAGGACCATGAATGGAAAGATATAAAATCACGAACACCTGTAACTGCCATTTTGAACTGCCCTAAAAAAACCTTGTAGGCCAAAAGTAGGCTGAAAGTCGGCCAGAAGTTGGCCAACAGTCAGCTGAGTATTGTCCTACAGGCTTTTGTCTGATCACTCAGTTGAGAGAAATCTTGAGAAGGACTGGTGCCACCATAAAGAGTTTCATAGCTGAAGTTTCAATCACTAGCCCTTTTTCAGAGCAAAGATCAAGGGCTAATGCTCAAAACGTCAACTTTGAAACATATTATGGTGGCCAATTTAGGCTATCAACTCAGTTGATAATAATAAATTACCTAGAATCAGAAGATGTTTATTATACTTTTATTGTATATCAGTTTGGTTTAAAAGAAGGACTCAGGTACTCAGACTACAGCCAGCATCAAACTTAGTCGACACAGTGTTTAAACAGATTTTTTTTTATATGAAGAATAACACTTTTGTTTGCACTACACTATAAATCATGTACAAAACTAACTTCTTAAAGTTCATGTAAGCAAGATACAACATTGTTTCTTTGGGGGGGTAGGGAAGGAGCTTATTAGTTTTACTTGAAGGGTTGAAAAGATCAATGTATCAAGATCAATGTATCAATTTTGTTGTGGATTGTAGCTGATGAAAATCAAAAGCAAAACAGACAAATTCTTAAATTTTGAATGTTTGATCATCAGCATATTTGATTCAAATTATGAGTAATGAGAGGAATGCATATAGAAAAAGCCTTGAGGGAGATGCAGTGAGGCAATGTTATCTCATAAATGCAATTTTTGCCTTACAATGAAAATTTTATGTCATTTTAAAAGTAATGGTAAAGCAACTTGAAAGAGAATGGAACACTGTATCTGAGGAAAAGCTATGATTACAAGGATGTGCCTGCACTTTTTTTTATTTCGAACTGACACATCTCTAAATTTCATTCGGCAATTGGTAACTTCAAGAAGCAGTGTTCATCTTTGATTTTCTTAACTGTCTTTTCCAGGAATTTTGATTACACTTATGACATGTACAGAAAAGTAACAACCCCAGAAAGGTGTTCTGTAGGTGTAAGCCATTTCAAATAACTCTTTCTTTTGGTATCAGCATTTTCTCTCCAAACCTGACTCTCATGTGCCAACCAACCGGCAACAATTTCAAAGTGATGGAAGACGTTTCCGCTACAGAACAACATTAACTGAAGGACACAGACAACAGCAGCAACAACAGATGCAGAGTCAACAACACCATTGGAATGAGACTGGTATCTGGGGGCAGCCAGGTAGACGACAGCAGGCTCATGTTGCAGCACAAAGAGATAGAAAGACAGTGGGTCGTGAAAGGAGAAGGTACT